CAAGATAAGAATACACGGTTGGCGCAAGTCGGTTATCTTCCGGAGACAGTACGCATGTAATTCTTGTGCAATTAACGGGTTTCTGCGGGACGTGTGCGCATGTGGCTGCGTGAGTGCGTAGACGAGTTGATTAATTTAATGGGTGGGAGTTATGAAATGAGTAGTCAGAGTATAGCACACGAGAAGAAAATAGAATGTTGATAGATATATTTTAGTTTTTTAGAGTCTAGTAATGTGTTAAAGTAAGGGCGAGAGTGGGTAAGAAAGGAATAGGATGGCGTGGAAGTTGGAAGAAATAAGCGAAGGGGAGGAGGAGTGGGTGGGCGGGAGGCTAAGGTAAAAGAGGTATGGGTGGAGATGGGGGGGGGGTCAGGTATGTAGGCGGGGTGGCAATGTAAGTTGAGCTTAATGAAAATAATCACCGATCTGACTGCACGAAAAAAAAACATTCACACTAATAAAAAAACTTACGTTAATTTCAATATTAATCAACTACTATGCGAAATCATAAAAATGGTACTTTAATTAGTACGTAAAATGAATGAAACGGTGACTGGTTTGGGTCAGCTTCCCTGAGACAACTGACCCGAAAGACAACCCTCGTGGTTGTAAATGTACTTAAACATAAGATAGATTCCCTGAGGAATAGTGATGATGGGCCCAACCGTAGAAGGGATATCATCGAACGAACTCATACGCAGAACGCAAATTGGGCATCCATCTTTTGGGAAATACCAGCGATAATCTCTCACGTATAGTCGTATAAGAAGGCGCGTGGCGCGAGATCGCTCTGCGATAGGTGTGCTCGTGGCACAAGAACAACTTAACATTAATTACCTAACCTAATTACATGTCCATACCCAGCTGGGGTCGTCACCAAGGACCATGTAATAATGATGAGGTGAGGTTCGATTAGATAACGAAAATCGGAACAATATGAAATCGTAGTAGCTGTTAATATAATTAATCTCTAACACGGAGATCACTAATAAATATAAATACAAATAGCTTGAATGTAATTTTTGGGTCGAGCAGAGTCAGATGGCTAAGTATTCTACCTGAGTAAGGTCAATGAGGTCGTTACAACATACGTTAAAATAGCAAGGCTAGTATATGTAAAATTAAATATTGTGAAAAAACAAGTACACAATAATCTAGAAATTAAATAATCAAATTACCAGTAAATGAACATGAATAATTAAAGAAAAAATATATCTATAAAGAAGGCGAATAATTATCGAAATATACTTCGGAATATGCACAAATATACTATAATAATAACGTAAAAACAATTCGTTGAATTATGCTAGTATTATTATAGTTCCCGATATATTCATGCAAACCGGAAGTAAATTCATCACTCTGTCGTAAATACGTTGATAACGGGATAATGATAAAATCACAATGTTATAGGACCTGACTTGATTTCACCTGAACAACCATGAGTGAGGTCATTCGCACTATAAAACGAATATAACACTTTATACATAAAAAAATACTAAAGTTATTCATATAAACATACAAATGAGCAAGGCATTTTTTGTATAAATATAGATACGAAAAAAAAAAATAAAACGTTATCACTGCAAAAAATAATTTAACACTAGCGGACTAGAAATATTGAAAATAGGTAGAGAGGAAGGGGGGATTAACGGGTGGGGGTTAAGAGAGAGGGAGGGGTTTAGGATGGTAGTGATAGTAATAGCGGGAGTGTAAGGAACGGGTATAGGTGGGAAGCGTCGGGAAAAGAAAAAGTTTGTGCATAATTTAACTAAATTATTTAAATATTCCAAAATATCCCACAAATGCATATTTAAACCGAGCCTAAATAAATGCACTTAGTAATATGCGAAATTAACGTCGATATAGCGTCGGTTTATACACTGGAAGATAATAAGAATAAGAAAATATACCAAATATATGGCAATACTTGTAACTCTAGCCACGTGGCTTAGTATGGTTAATTTAAAGAAAAATGCACGGCCTAGTTCACCCACATAAATGAAAGATTTAAGCATTACTAACGATTTATGCTAACTAGGCTAGCATGAGAGTTAGAAAAAAACACGCCAAAGAAAGAAAATGCACTCTCGCAAGTGATAAAAATGGGGATGGATTCCCTTTAAAAAACGATGATCTACCATGACATGGTAGATAACAGAAAGACGGAAAGAAAATGCACTGCACGGACACTTGTTCAGATATTTGAAAAAAAAATCACTGCACTTTGTGAAAAAACGGCATGCACACATAGGCGAAGAAAGGGGAAAGAAAAGGAAATTGCCAATGGTGTACTTACAGTTTTTCGGAGGCTTGTTGTTCGTGTCATCCGCCGCTTGCCACCAGTTGTCAGGGGTTTTGTGTTGCCCTGATTTGGTGGGTTATGGAGACACAATTCTGGTTCAGCTGTTTATTGATAGGAGGTGGCTGGAAGGTAGCGTGGCGCGGGTTGTTGTGGGCAAGGAAGCCCAAGAGGGGCGCCGAGCGGGGCGCGCGTGGGGGAGCGCCCCCAAGGAGAGGTGTGGTCAGGGCCGTGGGCCCCGGTCAAGTGTGCTGGGTCAACTGTGTGTGGCTTCGAGCGCTGGTCGCGGGTCCCTAGCAGTGGAGACGCAGGAAGGCAACCCTTGTTCCTCAGAATAACACACACACACACACAACACACATAACACACACACACACACACCACATAACACACACACACACACCACATAACACACACACACACACACATAACACACCACACACACACATACACACACACACACCACATAACACACACACACACCACATAACACACACACCACCACATAACACACACACACACACCACATAACACACACACACACACCACATAACACACACACACACATAACACACACACACACCACATAACGCACACACACACACCACATAACACACACACACACCACATAACACACACACACACCACATAACACACACACACACACATAACACACACACACACCACATAACACACACACACACCCACATAACACACACACACACACCACATAACACACACACACACACCACATAACACACACACACACACCACATAACACACACACACACACACCACATAACACACACACACCACATAACACACACACACCACATAACACACACACCACATAACACACCACAACCACATAACACACACACACACACACAACACATAACACACACACACACACCACATAACACACACACACACACACCACATAACACACACACACCACATAACACACACACACCACATAACACACACACACCACATACACACACACACCACATACACACACACACACACCACATACACACACACACACCACCACATCACACACACACACCACATAACACACACACACACCACATAACACACACACACACCACATAAACACACACACACCACATAACACACCACATAACACACACACACACCACATAACACACACACACCACATAACACACACACACACCACCACATAACACACACACACACACACCACATAACACACACACACACACACCACATAACACACACACACAACCACATAACACACACACACACACACACCACATAACACACATACACACACACCACATAACACACACACACACCACATAACACCACACACACACCACATAACACACACACCACACACACACCACATAACACACACACACCACATAACACACACACACACACCACATAAACACACACATACACACACACACCACATAACCACACACACACCACATAACACACACACACCACATATAACACACCACACACCACATAACACACACACACCACATAACACACACACACCCAAACACACACACACACACACACACCACCACTAACACACACACACACACACCACATAACACACACACACACCACATAACCACACACACACCATACAACACACACACACACACACACCACATACACACACACACACACACACACACACACAACACACACCACATAACACACACACACACACACCACATAACACACACACACACACACCACATAACACACACACACACCACATAACACACAACCACACACCACATAACAAACACACACACACCACATAACACACACACACACACACCACATAACACACACACACCACACACCACATAACACACACACACACACACACCACATAACACACACACACACACCACACCACATAACACACACACACCACATAACACACACACACACACCACATAACACACACACACACACCACATAACACACACACACACCACATAACACACACACACACACCACATACACAACACACCACATAACACACACACACACCACACCACATAACACACACACACACACACACACCACATAACACACACACACACCACATAACACACACACACACACACCACATAACACACACACACACACACACCACATACACACACACACACACACAACCACATACACCACACAACACACACACCACATACACACACACACACACACACACCACTACACACACACACACACACACCACATAACCACACACACACCACATAACACACACACACACACACCACATAACACACACACACACACACACCACATACACACACACACACACCACATAACACACACCACACACCACACACACACACACACACACCACATAACACACACACACACACACCACATAACACACACCACATAACACACACACACACACCACATAACACAACCACATAACACACACACACACACCACATAACACACACACACAACACACACACACACACACACACACACACACACACACACACACACACACACACACACACTCACCACATAACACACACACACACACACACACACACACACACACACACACACACACACACACACACACACCACACACACACACACACACAACGCACGCACGCACACCACATAACACACACACACACACATCACATGTTAACATTTAATACTCGGGAAAATTTGAAGGCATAAAAGGAAACGTTTCTTGTTACAGCAACCAGCCTGTTGTCAATGCTTAGCTGTGATCTGTGGAGCTACAGAGACTGCTCGCCTGACATACTGATAGACAGGGAAAAGGTAAGGTTGAGATCATGCTTTATACACATGGTAGGTAGTTTATTTTCTATTAATGTTTATTGGGTCATCAGTCACTTAATTATTTGGTTTTGTTCCAAAGATATTACTGTCCCCCAGGAATGGATTGGAATGTGCAGCTGAATGGATATCAGATAGCAGAATATCCAGATTCTGCTGTGGTTTTCTTATATAATAATACCTGATAGATGTGGATTTTTCTAGCCCTTTTACCAGTATGTGTCTAGGGAGATTTTTTTTGAGAGATAATGAATTTTCAGGATTTTGGACTTTTTGTTGTGCTAAAATAATTCCATAGTAATGCTATGTAAAACTTGATGTTAGGCATGTTCAGTTTTCTGCTTTCTTTCTTGCAATCATGTGCTGACCATTTTTCATTTCAAATATTTTTTCATTTTAAATTTATTCATTATTTTTATTTTTATTGATTTCATCATTAATGATAATCATTATCATTTTCCTACATTTCATTGCATTTTCAAAGACATCCAGTGTATGTAATTATTCTATATAACTTTAAGGGAGAGTCGTCGTTACGATCACAAAATTCGTTATCCGTCCTCCTTGCTTTAGTTTTTTAGCTAGGTCATTCATTATTTTACACAATGTGCATGGATATGTGGTGCTTAAGCACAAATAATTTTATTTAAAAAAGCTGCGTAAATTTTTGTGCTAAAAAGAAAAAAAGCGAGATGATAGAATTCGAAATTATGTAATAGTTTCCTTATTGTGAAAAATACTGGTTTCCTTCTGACCAGAGTTAGTCAACAAATAGGAGTACCAAATGTAGCATTTATGTAAATCTATCTGAAACGACAATGTTTCAGTTACCTTGCAGAAAAGTGCTTTTTTTTTTTGTGTGTGTGTGTGTGTGTGTGTGTGTGTGTGTGTGTGTGTGTGTGTGTGTGTGTGTGTGTGTGTGTGTGTGTGTGTGTGTGTCAGAAAATCGCCCTCAATTATTTTCAGTAAAAAATGTGTTTGGTGGAAATAATGCATGACTTAGCTACAGTTAGTAGATATGAACTGGTAGATATGCAACAAGAATTATTAGAATTGCGTAATTACATACAAAGTTAATATATCATGCATGATTTTGAGAAAATAGCAGTTTTCTCATTCATCTTCATTACAACATAAAGGTCATACCAATGATTACCAAACGTGAATATCTACTTAGACAATTCCTTGGCCTTTAATATGAGTCCTGTGGTAGAGGGTCAGGCCTTGTTCAGGTAATTTTAGGTCATCTTTATGTAAAGGTTAGATTAGGTTAGGTGGGAGTGTTCTCTGAAAAGTATACTTTCAGATGTCAAGACTCCTGGTTCCCTGTCATTTACATATCATAATACATCATAAATCATATATTAGGCATTTCCTATATATAAATGACATATTGACAGGTTTTCAACAGGTTGAAAACATGTGTACTCCTGACAACTTTATCAATATCACTGTTCTCCCGTCCTTGTTGCTGCTGCCTGCCTGCTGAATGCAGCCTAAACTATTGTAAAGCAGTATCATACCAAAGAAATTAGCAAAAACACCCCAAAATGCTGAAAATACAAGAAAAAGAAAGCATGAAGCAAAAAGGGATGTGGCATCGTGAGGGCATTTAAATACTCCAGACATTTAAATCGCGGAAAGGAGCGCGCTACGCATCTGGCAACCAGCGCCCGGGGTGCGTCGCATGCTCATGTATCCACACACAAAGTTTGAAAAAATCGTAATTTGTGACCCGTACCGACGACTCTTCACCTTAAGAGTTTGGTTAGCTTGAAAAATGTTGCTTTCATTATGTAAATTGGCCAAAATTAGTGGTGTCAGAACACTTTCCGATGCTCGTCAAAGTCCTCAAATTATCCTGTGCCATATCCTGCAGTGATACAGAATCATTAGCATTTCATCAGTCAGTGATCCCAACCATGTTGCTGTATTGCACCATCCTGCTACTGATTACATGATAGAAAAATAAATTTACCGGTAGATTACATTTTAGAGTATGTTTGATGTCAGATTTGGAAAGTTCAGGAAGTCTTCTTCATAGAAACATATTGCAACTTTTGTTTGTAAAAGGGTTAAAATTATTTGTATAAATGTTGATCATTTCTTAATTTCATATGTATTTGTTATTGTCTTTGTTTTTATTATTTTACACAAACATGATTTTATATCCACCATTTGTTTTGTTTTTTTGTTTTTCTTTTCAGCTCATCAAACGTGCAGCTCACTTATCAAAACTTTTAGAGTATGAATTTATCCTGACGCCCCCATGTGGAAGTTTGGAAGCCAAAATCACCAAACAGTTGACAATTTGGTGGTTACAGGCCTGCTGGTAGATGCAGGGGTAAGTTTGTTTATTTTCTTTTACTTTTGTTAGCCATTCATTTTACTGCAGAGTTTGGATATATTCATGATATACTTTTGAAGTGAAATTAATTTTGATTAATGTTTTCACATTCCAATCTCAAGTGCATCTCTCTTTAACAGAAAACTGGTTCAAGATGGATCGAAGACTCGGATGAGGAGGATGTGTCCTATTCTCAGTGTTATAAGGTGTCACCTTCAACTGCCATTTTGGAAGTCATTGGAGCTTGGAAGTCAATGATTGCTCCAATGTTGGATGCATATTACTGTACTGCTTGTAATTTGCAAATGCTGGTTGGCAGACAGGTACCTGATGTAAAGTTCATCCAGAACACACAAAGCTACATAAATGACTTACTACAGAAGGGCTCACTGAGATACGGTAAGTGATTTTCACATGTGGCAAAAGGCATTATAATAAGAAAAACGACAGAGTAACTTGCATTTACATGGAAGTATTTTAGCAGTAACATTAAAGTGAACTTCTTTATTTCAGGGGAGAGTATATGTGTGGATCCCATCCGTAATGCTGTCAAGCTTTTTGAGTCACAGTCGATCATAGAAAGTTACACCCATGACAGTGTTCGGTTGTTGTACCTCAGCACTCACTACGACTCAGAAGAGCAGCTTAGTTCCCTGTTGCTTGATATTGATAGTTTCAGATCTTGAATCTGCTGTGAGGGAAGGAGAAAATTGTTAGTGTATATTGCTTCACCTTTTACCAGGAAAAAGAACAGCAGTGCATTTTGATTGTTTTACAATTTGGATGTTTAAGTGAGGATTGCATTTTTTCTATGTTAAGATTGATAAGTATGATTAACACTGTAAAATGTTTTCATAATTATGGGTATATTTATTTTTTATGATTTTTATTATTATTGTTATTATTTTATTATTATTATTATTATTATTATTATTATTATTATTATTATTATTATTATTATTGTTATGGTTATGGTTTTTATAATTTTTCTCATTATTATTATTATTATTATTACTTCTATTAATATTATTACTAATATTATTGATATTATTATTGCTACTAATTGTTATTATTATTTATGAATTCTGCTTCTTTTTAGAAGATATATATGTATTGATCTGTTATGTTCATTGAGATAATTTTTTTGATTTAAAATTTATTGTGATCTGAATGCCATGATTATATATTTTTGGTGATTGAAGGATAACAAGTTTTTATTTCTGAGATAGAGATTTAGTACATCAGTAATTTTTACATATTGAAAGGTATCTCTCTTCCCTCTTCTTTTCCCTCTTTCATCTATTCTTGTCATTTCTCAATATATACATATGCATGTGTATATGTAAATTACTTGACAAACACACACACGTAAATATATACACGAATTCACAAATGAACACAGACTAAATATATCTCCCTTCTTTATTTTTTTTTTCAGAGTATTTTCATGACAATTGTTATGAAATATATATGATAGCATTGATGATACTAATTACAGTTTTAGTAAGTGATGATATTATTAATGATAGTTGAATAAGTTTAAATCTGTTTCAAAATCAGATAAGCATGGGAGTGTGTATTTGTGTGTCATGAGTGTACAGACATCTTTTTATATGCAGAGATTTATATTATTTTTTTGTTTTTGTTTTTACTGTTAGGTGACAAAAACAGAATGTCAGGTAATATTCCTGCACGAGATGTACATATTTATTTTCATTGGCAAATATGATACAGACAGTTCCTTCCTTTTGTATTTTTTTGTAGTCAGATTTTTCTCTTTTTTTCTTTTACATAAATTTGTTCATGTTGATAATGTGCCAGACAAATATGTTGCAGGAAGGTACATAATTAAGTAAAGAAATTAAAATAACATTATAATTAGTATTTAAAAATCATGAAAAGGATTCTTAAGACATCTTCCAAGAGAGAATTAAAGAGATGCAACTTAATGATTAAAGTTGCGTCAATTCTAATTAAAATCATGTTTATTTATTGATTGGATAATTTTGTAGTTAGCATGTATGTAAAAAGGTATGCATATATGCATACTCTTACACACCTAAAACTGAAGAATACAATGAAGAAAAAAAAGGGAAAGGAAAGCATTTAACACCCCTGTACTTAGGATTCATAAGATAGAAAGCATTTTGGGAGAAAATAATGGTAACAAGAAGGATTCATTGTAAAGATGGTTTGTAAGCATTCCACATGGCACTGATCCTAGTAAGTGTAGATGAAAAGTGGATGATTAATGTTAACCTCAGGTTCTGCTATTGGCTATTGCATCATGTATTTATTATTATTATTTTTTTCTTTTTTCTCTCTTCCGCTGTGCAATTATAGCCTAAAGAAATTTGGTTTACTCAGAGTTTGTGTATTGTATATCAAGAGTGACCTTATAAACAGAGAAGTTTGGTATTAAACAGTAATGGTTAATCACAGCATTTTTAGCAACAAACGAGGAAGTCCTAATGTAAATACTTGAAAAAAACAGTATTAGTATTATTACACTTACATAAACACTCTGTCTTACAGAGTAAAATGTTTTTAAGAATTAGCAGGACTTTCTCATGAATGTTGTGAATCACTTGTAGCTCACATATATTTCATATATGCACATTTACTGTTGTAAATAGATTACTAGATTTCTATTTCCAATATACAGGTTAACTAATTTGAATCATAGTAAGTAATAAGAATAGACAAGTGTATTTTCTACAATATTGGAAATCTGTAAACCACTTTAGCAATCCCGTGCTGAAATTTACACACTAAAAGTTAGACAAGTTTACTTTGGTGCCAGTTATTTAATATGGTGGTTGGTTAATAATAGGATAGAGGGCTGTTTTTTTAACAGAAAACCAAGTTCATGTATACATTTTAATTTTTTTATTTATTGTTTACTTAAATTGTATCCCCTTTGAATTTTTGTTGAAACTATTTCCACTATAAATCTGGAGATAAATCTTGCTTATAGAGGGGGTGAGTACAGTGTTTAACATGATATATATTCAATGAATAATGCAGTCTCTAATTCTAGTCAGTGAACTATAAGCAGAGAGGACAATGAGATGAATTTTGAGGGATCACTCTTGGGTTGTGTAGCGGAAGGACCCTCCCCCTTTCCTCCCTACTAAGTCCTGTATGCTGTAACATTGCTCTAGTGGTATAAACTTCGACAACCCCACCTATTGGGAATTCCTCTCTTGAAGTCTGGCCATTATTTTTATTTGGTAATAACGTATGGTGATCAGTTTGTTGTAAAGGGATATATACTATCAGAATAGTTACAGATGGGGAATTTGAATGACTATATTCAGTTATAAAGACTCACTGTTGTTTTGATATGTACAATAAATATGTGATGTAGTTGCAGACATTTAGGGACAGTTGCTGAGTTTCCTATTTATTTAGTGAAAGTCATGTAGCAGTGTTTTATGTACGAAACTTCACTTCAGATCCAAACCTGGAAGTGCAATCATGATGGAAATATGCATGTACATAGCATTTCATATTTATTCACTGTTGCTCTTTAGAATCAGTGTAAAATTTATTTGTATTATGATTGGTTATTTTACTTATTCATATGCAATTGCTAGTTTAAATTGTATCATGTTGCAAGCATTTGTAATAAAGTGTAAAACATTCCGTTTGTTTTATCCCCTTTTATTGTGTTGAAATTTAGGTATATTATATTTTAATGAAAACGAGTACCATTAAATGTCAGTAAAAATATTTTATATTGTACATCTATGAAGGAAATGACAAATGTGATCACTTGATCACTTGAATATGTAACTTTAAAGCTAAACGGCTTGAATTACGCGTCTTCTACCCCTTTCCTTTTCCTTCTTCTGTCCTTCGCTCCACTCCTCCCGTCTCAGCGTCTCCCCACTATCTCTCCCTCTACCCTGAATCATCCTACTCTACTACCCCACACACCATGCCAAATTCCTTTACAAGTCTAAATCCAGGTACTCTAATCTCTACCACTTTCCCGCTTTAACTGTCGCAGCAGGCAACCTAAACATTCCACTCCATCTTCTCATACTATAACCTCTTCCTCTGCTCCTCGAACGCCTATACCCTCTTCTCCTCACAAGAGAACCCTTGTTTCTCAGACCTTCTCACTCATCAACCCTCCAATCCCTCGGTTCCTATTCCCTCTACATTTAAAGTAATTGGCGACATCCATCCACCTAAAGTCCCCTATTCCTCCCTCTCTTTACCAACACACCCCATCCTCTCCTCCATGTGCGCCATTCCCTCTTCTTTCCCATTATCGTAACCGCTTCCACCTGGATACGTGAATCTCTATAGTTGCATTCTTCCCGATACTTCACCACCATCCCCAATTTCCGTTTATTCACATCCCTCATTTTTCTGTTGTTTAAAAAGTGTAACTAATTGCGTAAGATTTATACATATATATTTTTTTACCTCATGGGGTCCCCCTAAAAATATATACCCTTATGAATCCACACAGCAGCTGAAATGAACGATGTAGGTAAGACTTTGCCGATTTTTATAGGTTCTACTGAATTTATCCCAAGGCCCTAACCACATTCAAATCAACTGTTAGAAGAGAAAGACTGCAGGTTTGTGGTAAGAAATTTATACAATAATTATATAATAATAATCTTGTAAGTGATATACATTCCTGTTATTTTGTGTTGTGTTTAGATACCAAATGTGTTTGTTTTCGTTATGTACTAATGCTTTACATAAATAAATGTGCCAAACTTTAAAGGTCAATACAGCACTCTGGTAGAGTATTGTGGTAAATGAGGTTTATTTTTTTTTTATTAGAACAAAATACCTTAGGTTTCAACAGTCATATAGCATTATGAGTGAAAAGGGTAGAAAAATAGGGAGGAAATGGGGTAGGATAGATACTGAATGAGGGGGGAGGGTTAAGGGCAAAGAGTGAATAGATCAGATGGAGGAAGAACTGGTTGTCAATTGAAAAGGTGGGGGATTCCATGAGAAAGTATGGCAGCTTAGAGGGAGGGGGAGAGGACAAATGAGGAAAAGCGAGGGCAGGATAACAAGATATGTGGGACTGAAAGAGAGCATTGCATGATCAGCATAGAGGTGGGTTCGAGGGTGACACGAGGTAGGAATGCTAGAGGCGGGCAAGAGTAGTTTCACTGCGTCTGTTCTGGTGGTATGAGGCCGACCAAGGAGAGATAGAAAGTTTTATGGTTTGATTTATTGGCGGTCAGACCTGACCAGAAAGATTACACCCACTTTAACTTTTTGAGGTGGGGTTAGTAGTCGGCGTGTGTAATGTGTGAAAAGCATGTTTGGTGTGTTGTGGCTAAAGCGGAGGCATCTGCTTGTTCATTGCCGGGAACCCAACATGGCTGGGTATCCAGCAAAGCTTAACTGCTTTCTGTTGCGTGGATAGATAAAACAACTGGCCTATCTTACGCACTATGGGGTTGATAGGGTGTATGGGTTATGAGTGGTACTGAGTTACATGAGTCGGTAAAGATGGTTAAGGATGAGGAAGAGATGGAGGCCATGAGCTGTAAAGCGAGGATAGCATATAGTTTTGTAAGGACGCTCGATTCAGGAGGAAGAGGAAAGTTGTGTGTGAGAAGGAAAGACTGCGGCAAAACCGGTACCCGAGGTGGATTTGAAGCTGTCTGCATACAAGAGTACTGGAGGAGTGACTGGAGACATGTACAAGAAAATGTGCGAGGACGACAGGAGGGATATTTGATTTGGATTGATCTGGGAAAAGAGAAGAGCAATTACATGAGGAAGGTATTAACCAGGGAGGGAAACACGGCAGAGAGAGGAAGGGAATGGAAATAAGGAATGAGGGAATGGGAAAGCAGAACGCCCATACGAACAGGGAAAAGGGTAGGTAAACGTGGAGAGAAGGCCTGAAGAAGCGATTGAGGGTTGGTTAGTTTAGAGAGAGAATATTGGTGAACACGAACATAGCTTG